TCACAGAGCACTGACACAAGAGAAGCCCCCAGGATCCAAGTGGCAGGGAGGGCTGCAGAAGGATGGTTCATGATTGAAGGTGCAATTCCCAAAAGAGCAGTTTTCTGTCAAGCTGTCAGCAGGGTTTGGTGCTTTTCCAAAGGTGCAGATGCACTTGAGCAGTGGGAAGCTGAGAGCTAAAGCAAGTCCACCCTGCCTGCTTCTGCTTCCCTACCACACAGCCTGTTCCTCCTGCATCTCCAGCACTGAGGGATGGATGGGCTCATGCCTGGGCTGGGATTGTAGTCGCAGGCTTGGAGTGGCACTGCCACCAGCTGTGGTGCAGCTGAGCAGGGCTGCGTGCCCCAGGCTGTCACAGATGTGTTTGCCACCCCAGCAGAGCAGGCTCCAGCTGTGCTCCACATCTTCCTGAGTCACCAGGGTGAAAAACATGAAAACAACAACAAAAGAGCTGCTGGTTTGCAGCAAGGAATGGGAAGCTGGGAGCTCCTTCAGCAATGTGTCCCAGGAATGGAGATGAGTGGCAGAGCAGCAGATCAGCAGTGCTGATCCTCGTGTGGCTGCAGAGAAGGTGCTCAGCAGTCGGCTCAGGCGTTCGTCTGCTCCCACACTGACAGATGAAGTGTCCACAAAAGCAAACCAGCTGCATTTCAATGGTAGCTGCCTGGTCTGAATGCTGCACACTCAGGTTTGAAATGAAATTCCAGCTCGTTGCTGGGCTGACAAGCTGCAGATGATGGCTGTGAACATGACACACAGTTCAGTCTCCCAGCTGCTCATCCTGGCCTCTGCTCTGGGCTTGCCAGAAAGTTCCCTTCTCCCTCTCAGAAAGAGGAGATAAAATATTAGAAACTGCTTTATTAGCACAATATTGCTGCTGTGAGACTGGGGAACCCTAAGGCTGGTAAAGTCCAGTTGTTTCATAAGGTGCAGCCGTATTTTCCTGAGCCTTTTTGAAAGGGGTCATGAAAAAAACCAAACAAGATCATGAGCCAGCAACTGTGGATTTGGTGGGTGTCCTAAAGGGAGTGACAGAAAACACAGGGAGAGGGAGTTTTTATGGCAGCAGTGTGTTCATGCTTCAGTAACTCAGAGCATCTGTTTGAGCTTTGCCTGCCATGATGGGTGAGGCAGAATCAGGAGATGTCATGTAATTGGGTTTCCATAAAGAACGTGATATCAAACATTCATGAGAAAGGCAAAAATTCCCAGAAAATAAGGTGGTGTCATCCCAAACTGTTGCAGATGGGGAATTCTTCTGAAGATGTGCAAAGGCAACACTATTTGACAACTTGGGCACTCTTTATTCCTTCTCTGGAAGATGGTTTACAGTGGTAGGAGAAAATTACTGAAGTATCTGAGGGTTTTTTGGTTTTTTAAAATATTCTGAGGTTTTTAGCTGGCTTTAGGAAAAAAGAGAGGGGTTTTGAGGGATTTTTGTTGAACTGCTAGAGTGCTGCTGTCATTTGATTTATTCTGAATGAGCAGCAAAAGAGAGAAATAGAAGCTTCTCTGTGAGTGATTAATTTTCACAAATGTGAATTTTTCCTAGCAAGAGCAAGAGGGTTTCAACACAAGCTGGTGTGAGGCTCTGCAAATGCCAAGTGTCTCCTCTTGGGAGATTGAAAACAAAGTTGGCACCAATGATTAGTGGCTGATTTGGCAAAAGTTGCTGAAAATTGACATCTGAGGGAGAGGTCTTGGGCTGATTTATTCAAACAGTGCAGTTTGAGACTACTTTTGTGGTGTTACTGTGCAAAGTGCAGGGGTGATCAGAAGGAATGTAATGTGGAAAATGTGAAGGACGAATTTGGTGTCTTATTTAGTTCTTTGTGCTTTCTCTTGAGCTTTTCTAGCACATTGTTAGCAGTACAATGATACAGCAAACTTGCTGATGTTGACTAAGGAAAGTTAAGATGCCAAAACACCACAAATATTTCATTTACTACATATGGAACTTTGTTACTCTTCCTCTTTGCTAAGATATGGGTATTAATTTCACTTGGATGTAACTGTCATTTAGGAGCAAATCCAACAAGGGAATAACATCACATGGTCCAGCAAACCCAGCAATTCATCATCCAAGAGCCTGAGAGGCAGAGCAGCCCTGGAGGAGGACTCTGTGGGCTTTGTGGTCAGGCGTGTGTGGAGGCATCCCTGCCTGCCCAGGGACAGCCTCTGGGAAGGAGCACTGGGTGGGAGGTGGGGATATGAACCAGAAATCTTGCAGCTACTGTTGGGAATGTTTTGAGCTGTGTTTCTGGTCTTGGGATGGTTCCAGCACCAGCTGGAGCCAGTGTGGCTTTCACTCTGCTGGGAAGCACATGAGGTTGGTGCCTCAGAGGTGCCAGTGCCCAACACTGGGTGTGTTGTCCTGAGGGGAACAGCTGAGGGGTGAAGGAATTGTGAATGTGTGGAGTTTTTATGCTCCCAAGGAAGTTTAAAGTGGTTGGTTGGCACCTAGTGGGAGGGAGATGACTTCCAGGGAACCTCCTGATAACTTTTCTCAGGAGTTGGCAGGACTGTAGGGACTACAGTGTGACAGTGATGAAGTGAGCAGCAAAGAGGGAGGACAGGCAGTTTTTGCTGCAGGATGGTAGGATCACATTTTGCCTCTGGCTGATTTACTCACAGCAGGAATAAAGGTACTGTGTCAGGAGTTAGTTTGACACATAAGGCAGAGAAATAAAAGCACAAAAGCTCAAGATACCTTGACAGCAATCACCCACCCAAATATAGCCCCCCAGCCAGCAGAGCTTGCTGTCCACAACCTCAGTGCACAGCTCAGGCTCTCCCCCTGCCCAGCACTGCTGCTCTGCAGTAGAAGCTCTGATAGCTTTGCCTTGCTGCTGATTGCTTTAGCTTTTTATGCACAGCAGAGAGAAGACATAACCTGCAGCCCCTGCCAGCCTAGGCTTACTTTTCTACAGAGCTTTTAAGATTTATGGTCCTATTTTACAGTAACTATGATTTGTCTTATAGATCATGAATATATGATTGCCCCATGATCCCATAGTGATGGCTTGGTCATTACTCCTGAGCACTAGCAAGGAAATTTTAACCCTGAAGTTTTCCTGTGGAGAAATCCAGGAGGCAGGGCTGGAGCTGGCTGCTTGGCAGGGCTGGAGCCTGATGGAGCTGCCTCCAGTGCTGCCAGGCCAGGCTCATTCACCCTCCATGGTACACCTAGGAGTGACAGCTGGGTGTGCATGAGGAATGAATTCTCATGCTGGATCATGGATTCTGACCAGAATAATTGTAAAAGTTGTGGCCCCAGGAGCAGAAGGTGCTGGGAGCCCTAAGGCTGGCAGTGAGAATGTGGTGGTTGTGCTTGTTAGCCACATTAACTGCTGCTGTTTGGGGAGAAGGACATTGGGGCTCCATGGAGGGATTGGACACCACATGGCACCTTCTCTCTGTCCACTGAGCAAGGGGAGCTCTGCCAGTGCAGGGCAGAGGAGATCCCTGCAGCTGTGGATCTCAGGACAAGCATGTCCTTGAAGCTTGCTGGAACCTGGCAGGAAGCTGTGTCATTTAGGGGCTGTCCTTTGCCTGGAGGTCTCTTCGAGGAGAGCAGAGAGCAGCTTCTCAGCACTCAAGGCACAGCCTCTCCTGGCTGGTAACTTGTGTGCTCCATGGGGACTGGGGATGCCTGGTGTGTGTCTCTCCTGGCAGCCAGAGGCTGTGCAGGTCCATGTGTTGTTGTCACCTCAGTAGGGAGTTGAGGGGGACTCTGCTCAGGCTGCACGTTGTCCACGACCTGCTGACACAGCAGCCTGAGGCAGCAAGGTTCAGGCAAGAGCACAGATGTTCTTGTAATGAGCCCAGTGATCTGGTGACTCATTCCCTTCCCAAGCAGCCACTTTTGATGTGAAAACTTCAATAAATGGAAATGGAAATTCCACTTTTGTAACATTTCCAAGAGCCGTTTCTCATTTCTGGTTTGAAGGGGATGGCTTGGGCTTCCTCCCTTTGCTTCCCATTACATTTCTGTGAATGAAGCATTGGGACCCTTACTCAACCCTCTGTACTTTTGCTGACCTCCCTGAGTCTTTCCTGACATTTCCTAAAATCAAGAGGTTCTCAGTGGTGATTCCAGTCTCTTGTAATGCAAATGGTAATAATGATATGAATGATAATCATTGTTATTCTGTAGGATGAAATGTCAAGATTCCATATTTTCATGTTGATTTTTAGTAGGTAAGTGCCGCATTAAGCATGTCCATCCTGTCAGGGAACATGCTTTTCATATCACAGGAACTGTTAGAAATCATTAGTAATGAAGGAGACAACTGTTGTGCCTGGTGGGCTGGTCTGTGACATGCAGTAATGCAAAGTGACATGGAAAATTTGGAATGAAGGATGAAAAGCTGTTAAAAAAATTGTGGACGTAGCTATAAATTTATTAATCTCGTGTCTAAAATGTGGTGCTGAGCTGTAATGATAAATAGGATCCCTGTCACTACTGTGGGATTGCATGTGTGTAACTCAGAAAGGAGCTAAAGGGCTGAGGCTGGAGGGACTGGTTTGGTGGTACCTGAGTGGATGGCAAAAGGCTGTACTTACCTTGAAATAGGAACCTATGGGCAGTAAGATCAGATTTTGAACCTTGTGTCTATCTTTAATTGTTCTAAATAAATACTGCCCTGGGTAGCACAGGATCCCTGGACAGTGTATTTCTCTTAGAAGTACATTTAAGCAACAAGTATTTTACTGCAAACATCTCTGCTCTTCTCATCAAGACATTGGCAAGACCTGCCGCTCTTTGGGGCCTGTATTTATTATGCAGTATTACTTTGTAGAAAGTATTGCTTTTACTTTGTAAAATAAAAACATTTTGGTCATATTTCTCTCTCATTTAGGTAGTTTTTAATTGACATTTCGTGAAACTAACGCTGTTATACAACGCTCAGAACATAACAAATGCTGCTACTTCGAATGAATCTCAGCTGAAACTTGAACCTCTCCTGGCTGGTAACTCTTTGTGTGTTTGATCCCAGGCTCCAACCTCACTGCCTTGGACCATCTGGGCAGCGCTGTGGGCCTCGCTGAGGAGCAGGTGCAGGGGTGGAGGCAGCGGCGCCGGAGGCACACCACGGAGGACGACTACAACATCGAGGTGCTCCTGGGGGTTGATGACTCAGTAGTTCAGTTCCATGGGAAAGAACATGTTCAGAAGTACCTGCTGACCTTGATGAACATTGTGAGTACAGCCCTGCTCGCTGCCCTGTGGGAAGGCTCTGAAAGGCCTGGGAATGTAGGTTGGGTAAACCATTTGAATAAGACGTAACAGATTTTGCTCGTGGCAGGAGATAAAATAACTCTAGGAGGGAAATCCAGGCCACTTTTCAGAAAATCCAATAGGGGAGAAGCAAAAAAGCAAAAAAGGAGAAAGGAGCCAAGACAGAAGCTGAGTGTGGGACTGTTAAAATGTTCAAAGTCCTTCTTATGTGCTTTGGTGGGTGGGACACAAGGTCAGGGGCTCAGGTTTTTGGAAGTCATTATGTTTCAGCTGTATATTCCCTTAACCTAAGCTTCCTGCTGAGGAACACAGTTTGGAGAACTGTCTTCAGACAAGGTTCTAACAGAAATTACAACTGGCTTTTACATTTTTAAAACTACTCTGCTGAATTCTTTGATTTCTCAACAGCCTCTTTAGGTCCCAGGCCACCTCCCTGCTCCTTGTTCACACTGCAGTAAAATGTTATGCGGTAACACTGAGCTTTCTTAAATTGATTTAGTATTTACTCCATGACTGACATCTTTAGGTTTCCTTAGTTAAATATTTAATCTTCATAACCATAGTCTGTGTAACAGACTATATAGTGTAGGAGTGATGAAAGGAGACACTAGGGATTATAATGTTTGAAAGAATCACTTTTTATTTCTAAATATCAATGCAGCAGCCCTCTCATACCCCAGACAGTAAGCAAGGACGCTATTTTTTGGAAAAGAATGAAGACTTGAAAAATCCCTAGTACAGATAAAAATCCAAATATATTTTATTTTTTGCCAAAGAAATAGAAGTGATAGCCCCCCTCATAGGCAACTCATTTGGGGATGACTTTCTTCCTTCTCCTTCTCGTCTGGAACAGGAGTCTTTTCTCAATAAGACACACTTCTGAAAAAGCTTTGGCCTCAGTGAATGTGTATTCTTAGTAAAATAGTGTTGAGTAAAAAATTGTAGGTCTGCTCTGTTTTTGACAAATGGAGTCTGACTGCTGAAATTTACAGTCGTGTCGAGAGGATGAGCCTGTAGATGACTCCTTTCACTTTGCAAACCACAGAGGCAGAAATCCAGGCTGTTAGGTAGATTTGTCTGGGATGTCGTTTTTCCAAGATGTATTTTTTTAATTATGAAGCTTGTTTTTTTTCCTTCTTTATTACGTTCTTTTAGAAATGTGCAGAATATCACTGTTTTTCATTTTAAATTAGAGGTGGAATACAATTTGAGAAAATCCCTTGTGTGATATAAATTCAGTTATGACTTTTTATAACAGCATTGTAAATAGTTAAAAACCTGCTCTGACATTAGAGTTATGGAGTACTTGGTGTCTGCTCTGATGGCTGTAAATGCATATATTCTAACAGAAATGACATAGTGAATTTAATTTATTTGTGTGGTTTGTTTCCTCTGAGGCTTAAAACAAAGTCTACAGTGAAACAGATGGTTTTATGCATCTCTAAATTAACAAGTCAAACAGGCCAAACCAGGAATGTGGCAAACAGGCCAAAATAGATTAAACAAGACTCTTTACTTATCATGTCACTTAAATCTATTTTTAAGAATTAAAATATACAGTAATGGTAAAGAAGCCATAAATGTTCCAGCTCTGGAATATACTTTTTCCTAATTTTAGTAAACCAAACCAAGACACAAATTGCAAGAAATAACAACTCTTCAGCAGCCTGTCTCTGCAAGTGGTTTAGAAAGTGCAGCCTGTGTAACCATCCCCACAGGGCACAGCAGCTCTTGGCACAGGCAGCAATTGTTCTGTTGAGAGCTCTGAGGTAGAAATATGTCTTTTGGGGACTGAGGATGTGTCCCATGCCTTGTGCCCAAATTCGAGAAGCTGCTTGAAATGATCAAGGTATCTTGAAAGGCTCTGGATAGTTGCTGGCAGTCATCAGTGTTGTCCTGTTCTTTCTCTCAAAAGTCAGCTGGCTTCTAGAGTCTGTATTTCAGCTGAGGGGTGGTGATGGTAACCAGCCCTGTTTCCAGCTCCAGCACAGAGAGGCAGGAGGGGTTTATTGCTGCAGATGGTGCTGGGGACCTGGATTGTGCCAAGGACAACACAATGCAGAACCTCTCTTTCCTCTCAACAAGGCCACTCCAGCTCTTGCCCTCATTGCTGGATGGGTGCAAGGTGTAATTCTGTATAGAACATGGCTTTGGTCTCCTTTCCTGAGATTCATAGTGACTCCCCCATTGCCTTCTCTTCTTCATCTTTGAATGGTTGGGGGTTTTTGTTTAGAAAATGAGCCCACTATAAAAGGCCTTGGGGTCCCTGCTGTTAGGGGTCACATGTATGCAGTGTGTCTCTGATGACATGTGTAGGTCCAAGGTCACTGAAAAAGAGTGACAATTCCGGCTGTATTTTTAAATCTAATTGGAGATCCTCTCATAAGCATCAGATTGTGTGTACCCTGCTGGATTTAGGATGCAATCAATTAGCTTCCTGTAGTAACAAGGCATAGAATCAATTAGCTTTGTATGGTAACGAAGTAGTAAGCATAAAATCAAGAATGCATGGTAACAAAATAATAGTGAAGATATTTACTGGAGATAAAACACGTCATCAAATAGTTGAATTTCTGAGGTTCCAAAAATGAAATAAATCTTAGGTGAATTGTCCCTCCTGGGGCAAGACATTACTTTCCCAGAAGCAAGTCCCAGCATGGCTGCTTCTCCCACTGTGCTTGATCTCTTTGTGTGTGATGGCGTGAACAGTTGTCCTTAACTAACTTTTCCCAGGGATCTTGGGTGGAACCCTACCACCAACCCAATCAAAACAATATATTTTTTTTTCCAAGCCCAGTGCAATGACTGTAAATTCAGTAAAATCTGTTTTGTGCAGCTTAAGTGATGTGTTACAGTCCACACCTAAAAGCCATGAAGTGAGAAAAAACAGGGGCTGGGTGTCCTGGCTATCTTGAATAGCTGTGCTAATATTTATCCCAAAGTTTGGAAATGAAGTCACTCCCAAACAAATGGTGATAGATGCCAGAGGATTTTTAACACGTTGGGCTGCAGCCACGTATCGTCTGACTGTGCGCCAGCCGTTCCACTGCAGTGAGCTCGGCCTCATGCCTCCCCTTTTTCATCCTCCAGCCATTTCCTCTGACAAAACTCTGGTTTCTCTTGACCTCCTCTCTTTTCTCTGCTCAGCACCATGGGGACATTCAGTCACCTTTGGAAAAGATGCCATTGTTTTCACTTTGGAGACCCTCGGCTGCCTCTCGCTTGCACCATTTTCATTGCACTTCATGCTGTGCTTTTTCCTGGGAAGGATATTGGCCTGCACAGTCCTCTGCATTTCCAAGTGAGAGCCCACACATTGCACAAATTAACTTTGTATTTATAGCATGCAGGAGCATTTCCACAGAGGAGACATATTTGGGTGGAATCTTGTAGTTCTGTAGTTACTCAAGAACATAGAAGGTAATTCAATTTCAGCAAGAAAGCATATCAACCCCCCCAGTAATTGTATCTGCCTGTACAATTGTTTGGGAAATATTAGAAAAGTGCAAGGCTAGAAGTGGTGTTGTAGAATTACCTTGTTGCTTGGGAAAGAAAAGGTTTTCACTGCAGGATGCCCTGGGAAGAGGAGAAGGGCACTGAATGGATGTCATTGTGCTGAATGTCTTGGATGAGTGCAGTGATCAGAGGATAAAAATCTGGCTGGGTGGTCAAATCCAAAGGGTGGTGGTAAATGAAACCAAATCCAGCTGGTGGCCAGTCCAAAGTGGTATTCCCCAGGTGCAGCAGTACTCAGTATCAGTGATCTGGATTAGGGAATTGAGTGAATCCTCAGTTCACGTGCAGGTGGCACCAAGGTAGATGAGAGTATTGATCTGCTGGAGGGCTGGAAGGCTCTCCAGTGGGATCTGGACATGGCCTCAAGTTGCTCCAGGAGATGTTTAGATTGAATATTTGGAAAAATCTCTTCATGGTTGTCAAGCATTGGAGCAGGCTGCCCAGGGAAGTGATGGAGCCACCATCCCTGGAGATGTTTAGAAGATATTTGCATGTGGCACTTGGGGGTGTGGTTTAGTGGTGACCTTGGCAGTGCTGGGGTGGATGGTTGGACTTTATGATCTCGAAGAGCTTTTTCAACCTAAAGGGTTCATTGATTTTGAAATGGGTGTTGTTGATACCCAGTCATGGTGCTGAAATTCACTCTTTCATAACCCTCTTAAAAGTCGTTTTGAAGATTAAGCAATTTTCAGGGGTAAAAATCTTTAAATTCTTTTCCATTCCTTTACTGTAAAAGAGCTGATATTAAAATATTTATATATACTCATTTAATGGATATATGGCCAAAATATTTGTGATACTAAAGCCTATCTCCTCAAAGTAGCTAAGTGCCTAATTGCTGTTATTTCAAAGGGAGATAGACTCTAAATAAGAATTATGCCTCACTCTGGGCTAGATTTATCTGAGTATTTAGTAATTTACCTGCCTTTGAAATCAGTGAGAATCAGTATTAAAAATTAGCTCATGGGATTATGTATCCCTCAGCCTTCAAGTGAAACTTCAACTCCAGAACAAATACATTAAACAACTTTTCATTTGAATAACTGAAATCAATGAGAGTTATGCAGCTGGGGGCTTTGGAAAGTCCCCGGAGTCTTTCACCTGCATCTTTCAGCACTACACATGTCTTTGAAATTGTGGCCCTGAGGCACTGCTGAATGTGTTATCTGTCCTCTTTAATAGGATGTACATGATACTACTATTATAGATGAGATTTCTGCTCTCGTATCTCTGGCTGATGAGGGATGAAGATTTGCAGGTACAGAACAGCAAGTCCCTAATGAGAGGAAAGGGCAGAAATGCCATTGGTTTCTAACTGACAGTTGGATAAAAACCTGAAAGCATGTCTAATTCAAGCTGCTAAAAAGAAAGTGATGATTGAATACATTGAAATAATGGTGCTCCCTGTCTTCAGAATCATGCTTTTTTAAACTAAAAAGCATTTC